GACGATTAGAGTTTGGCAGGTGACCTCTTTTCCAATTTAACACTAACTTTTCAGTGGGGAAAAAACTATCTGGCTACATTCAATGTCTCTAAAACCAATCTGGTTACATTCTATCACTGCCTATCAGACCCTGAACTACTGCCAGTCACGATGAACAGATGTCTCCTCGAGGAGGATCCGTACCTCGAGAGGATATTGGACCTCAAATTCACAACTGAGCACAAGTGGAATTCCTATACAGGGGGTCCTCGGCTTACATCGGCGATCCGTTCCCACGGCACGACGTAACCTCATTTTTGACATAGGTTGGAACTCACCTACATAAGCACCGACGAGTCTACCTTACGCTTACGAAGGATTGTAATACAGTAAAAGGGAGAGTATTGAAAAAAATTAGCAGAAATGAGTTATTTTATATGATGCTTAACTTTTGTTTTTATGAAATTTTGTTGCTATCCGTCGAGATATTATTACTCGTATCCTGAACTTTATTGTTTTTATTTCAATGCATCGGTAAATTGGCTGTGATAAAACTAACAAAAATAATGATATACGTCCTAATAACTCAAAGACAATATACGAGCGCAACTCTGAAAGTCTTGACGGTCAGAGATTAGCAGCTGACCTCTCATCCGATCTAACAGTAACTACCCAGTGGGGAAAAACTGGCTGGTTACATTCAATGCCTCTAAAACCAAACTGGTTACATTTCATCACCGTCAATCAGACCCCAAACTACCGCCAGTCACGATGAACGGATATCCCCTCGAGGAAGCACCGTGGCTCGAGAGGATATTGGGCCTCAAAAACACACAGGCCTCAAGTGGAATTCCTATATACGATCCATCCGTAAAGATGCAAGTAAAATGATCAGTTCCCTATACCGCTCCAGTAAGTACCTGACTCCTCATGCTATCCTCTACATTTATAAGAGCCAGATCAGGCCGAAAATGGAGGTACCATTGTCATATTTTGGCAGAAGCTGTCCAGACCCCACTTTCCAATCTTGATAGAGTTCAAGAGTATCTTGGAGTCCTTGTTGGAGAAGAATTATTTTCCACATTCCAACCTCTCTCTCTCTCTCACAGGTTTGATGTGATGAGTCTCTCATTGCTCTATCGCTACTACCATGGAAAGTGCTTGGACGAATTGCATCTCCTCGTTCTACCAGGTTTGACCTTCACAGCTAGGATCCGCCATGTCACTTACATAGTAGCAAACCATCAAAATTCCCCGTGTTCCATCGTCGAGAAGTAATTTCCACTTAAACAGCTTCTTCCCGCGAACCACTTCGCTATGGAACAGACTCCCAAGAGGATGTTTTCCCAATCACTACAATCTTAACCTGTTCAAGTCTAACGTCAACCATTATCTTCCCCTCCTATCCGTATAAACTACCCCTTATCGTAAGCTTCTACCACTAGTGGCCCTTGGACTTTGTAGAGGGTGAACCTTATTGTAAAAAAATGTGACTGATATGATAGTGGATCAATGTCCATTGGCAAAGCACTAAAATTACGTCGTTATCTCAACACCTGATATCAAATTGCAAAGTTAACCTACTAGTTCAAAAATACAAAAACCATTAATATATAAATTAAATTATGGTACTTTGACAAAAAGATGACATCTTGTTATATTTTAAATTGAAAGGAAGTTAAATTTTGATAATAGTAGCATAGGAATATATTTATGACAATACAATTATCACAAAAACAACATCTTTTCCAAGTACATAACCTCATACTATAGGAAATCGTGTTAACTGTCCTTTATATTTTTAATTAAGAAAATATAATAGAACCAAAAAAGACAACATTTTAAAACATAACACTATAAAGTCTTTCAATATCAATGACAAAACAAATACTTTTAAATTTTTAATTGAGAAATTATGAAAGTAGCATGGCACCACAAGATTGATTTGTTTTTTTACGGATTATCAACCTTTTGCAGAACATTTAAAGCCAGAAAATATTTTTAAGTTGTAAGAATATTTTGGAGATAATAATGATTTACTGATACAAGTTCAACTAATTAACCCATAGCTGGAGGTAAAAGAGGTATTTGCCTGTAAGTAAATATAACAAAGCCACCTGGAATTAGAAATCGGAGAACCGAGTTCCAATTGCCAGTTGTTATCCATTCCAAAGCTTACAGCACCTGGTATTCCCAAGCAGTCACTCATTTAGGTACTGACCAGACTTGATGTTGCTTAACTAATCGTATGAGAACCAGTGTTCCAATGTGATATAGAGTCTGGCACCACAAGAAGATATATTTTAATGAGTTATTGTACAAGCACTTGATTGATTGATTCGTTTACTAGAGCTTATCAACCCTTTGCAGATTATTTAAAGCCAGAAAATATTTTTAGATATTTTTAAATAATTTTTTGAGATAATGATTGAATGATACAAGTTTTACTAATTTACACAACTTGGAAGAGAAGTGGATTCATGCATTTCCTAAGAGCATTTGCACCTAAATGAATATAATGAACCCAACAGGAATTGGAACTCAGCTCTCTGATTAACAATTTCAACCTGTTATCAATTACATCACTCACACATCAAAGCTTCCAGAACTTTGTATTCTCAAACAGTCATTCATCTAGATAGTGACCAGGCTCAATGTTTCTTAACTTCTGTGATCCTATAGGAACCAGTTTTTTGATGTGATATGGCCATAAGCCTGCACAAGTACGATGAGAAAACAAGTGGAAGCAAGAAACCAAGGCAGATGCTGGTTAGGCTTAGAGCTTCATTTTATTTGCTTTCTCTGGTGTAAATTTGTCACTCATGACTGCTAAACATTGAGATCAACAAAATTGTCACTGGCAAAATTCAACATCAACAGTTTGTTGGTGTTGAATGCTGCCAGATGACTTAGTGCCTGATCAATGAATAGTTACACTACAATTTGTTCCCTATTCAGTGGCAACATATGCCTCCCGACATCAAGTGGGGTTCCAATGAGACATGTGCACTATTTGCTACACTCTTGATACGACACTGCAGACATGTTGATATACTGTGAAAATTAAGATCAAAATTCAGTTTATAAATATCACTCCGTATTTCCTTCCTACCAGGTAGGTCCATGAAGATTGTCATTAGTGGCTGGTCCTTTGAAGCCTGTGAGATCAATGCAGGAAAATCCCACAAAGATCTCAGAAGTCCTACCCTCTTTCTAACATATATTTATGATCTGCTGAAGAACATTCTCAGATCATTAGTAAATATACATGCGGACGATAAAATGGCTTATGAGTGTACCTTATAAAATTTATATATCCAGAACCTGGTAGCTGATCTCACCTTTGATCAAACTCTCACAGCTCGGTGGGTAAAGACTGGCTGATATCATTCAATACCTCCAAAACAAAGCTGGTAATGTTTCACCATTACTGAGCAGATGCAAGATCTTCTCCAGTCCTAATGAACAACTGTATTCTTAATGAAGTTCATTGTCTCAAATGCTTATTGGGTCAAAACTCACTCCAACCTCAAGCACCGTCCAATAATCTACATCTGCATCCTGGGTAAGACGATAAACAACGTCCAACAGCAAGACCCCTGATCAGGAGGCTTTGAGGAGTGTGGAACCACCTCTTAATTGCTGGTATTCCCAGTCCACCCTGACCCAGGGTGGTAGCACCTGTTAGGGTCCCAGCTATGGGCAAATAGTTAACCTCCAGACTGGGGTTAAAACACTATGAAAGTGTAAAAATAGGTTTTAATACCAGAAATAGTTTGTAAAAAAAGTTATTACCAGAAATAAGTTTTTGGAGAAAAAAATTTTTACCAGCAAACATTTAATAAAAAAAAAAAAAAAATTACCAGCAATAAAAATTTTGTCAGCATTAAATAACCCATTGAGGTTGATATGCCATAAAGCAAAATAAACCAAACTGTCCTCAAGCAGAGCTCACATATGTGTACCGTCACTAAAGATGCTGGAAAAATGGTTTGTTTCTTCTACTGGTCTTGAAAGTACACGACTCCTCCTGTCAAGCTCTGTCTTTACAAAAGTCAGATTGGATCAGGAATGGAGTACTGCTGCCAGATCTGTCCTGGAGCTGTCTACTGGCCTTGATGATGATGATGAAGAATTATTTTCTAACCTACAACACTTTACCCACAGCTGAAACATTGCTAACCTCTCAGCTACTATCACTATTTTCCTGATAAATGTTAGGACGAACTACATTCCTTAGTTTCACCAGTTAAGACCTTTACAGCTAGGTTTCTCAACACCACATACACAGGGTCAAATCACTCTCATTCCCTTTGTATTCCATTAGTAAGAAGGAAGTTTCACACAGACAGCTTCTTTCCCAGAACCGTTATTTTGTGGAATGGACTCTTGAGAATATGCTTCCCCAATCACTACGATTTGAACGTCTTAAGGTCAATCATTATCTAGCCTAATTATTCTCATAATAAGCATTTCTTACTTCCTCAATTTGCACACTTACAACCTCATTCAGTAACCCTCTACTTTGAGTGGCTCTTGGGCCTTGCTTTAAGTGAACAATAGTATAAAAAAGTTGATTAATATTCACCACTATAATAAGTGCAATGACAAAAGCGATTCTGTCTGAATTTCTATTTCTTTTATTTACATTTGGTAGAATGTCCTTATCTTTGTTGTTATTATTGCAAGATGAGTGGAACAAAACACTGATTCATAAACTTGGTGACATACTAATTGTGAATTCAATCCATGGGCTGGAGAGTACAGATTGAGACTCAGTGGAAACTTGATTGATTGATTAATTTGTTTTCAATGGCTTATCAACTCTTTGCAGGTTATTTAAAGCCAGAAAATATTATATATCATAAGATTTTTTTTTTTATTTCTGGAAGATAATAATGGTTTAGTGATACAAATCTTACTAATTAACCTATAACTGGGGGATGAGAGTTGGATTTATCCCTTTCCTAACAGGGATTGGAACTCAGTTCTTTGATTAACAATACCAAGCCATTAACCATTACACCATGCAGTATTCCCAAGTGGTCACCCATCTAAGTACTGACCAGGCTCAGCATTGCTTAACCTCAGTGATTGCACAGGAACCGGTGATGTGGTTGTAAGCCTCAGTGGAAAAAAGGCAAGCAATAACAAGGTTACAAATAAATAACAAGATGAATATACTTGACAGCTGAAGAAGAACAATTTACCCCCCACACAGATTAAATAAAAGTTTCAGTTTGAAATTCCCTTTAGGTTACCCGGGATTAACAGGCACCTGAAGAAAGTTAGAAGGCACAATGCCTGAGATGTTGTAATGGTAACAAATCCAAATATGAATGTTGACAAAAGTGATTGTTGAAAAATAAAAATCTCTTATGTAAGTCAAATATTTTTTTCTCGTTAGACGACAGGTTTATTGATGGGACTCATACATGCTAAACAATCTCCACAGATTAAAACTTTTGATGACATTTTGTTTTCTTTTTAAAGATAACGACATTGCTATTCTGAAACTCTCAGGAGAAGTCACGTTCACCAAATGCATTCAACCGATTTGTCTTCCAAATGGAGTCCATCTCATCAAAAATACTACAAACTGCTTCACAGCTGGATGGGGTAGAACCGGAGGTAAGTATTTGAAGCTTTTCTTCAATTTCTATCACCATTAGCTACCAATTAGTAGAATGGGATCTTTAAAACTGGAATCATTCTGATGAGCTTTACTCTTTAATACAGAACTTTGACATTACGAATTTAAGCATAGACCTAGATTAGCAGATGGTCTCATCATTTTACAGTTAAAATTGCTTAATGCAACCATGTTCTATGTTAAAAGTTTCTTCGCATCCTGGGTAAGATGATAAACTACATCCAACAGCAAGGCCTCTGAGTGGGAGGTTTTGAGGAGCATGGAAGATCCACTTAATTGCTGGTGTTCTCAGGTACATCCTGACCCAGGGTAGTAGCACCTGTTATGAGCAAATAGTTAACCCCCTTCAAAACTGGGGTCAAAACACTATGAAAGTGTAAAAATAGGTTTTAATTCCAGAAATACTTTTTTGTAAAAAATTATTACCAGCAATAGATTTTTGAAGAAAAAAATATTACAAGCAATAAAGTATTTTGTCAGCATTAAATAACCCATTGAGGTTGATATACGATAAAACAAACCAAACCAAACCAAACCAAACCAAACCTAACCAAACCAAAAGTTTCTTCTCTTGCATTTCTCACTTGTGGAACTATCTTCTGGTTTTCCTGTAAATGAAAATAGGGAAGCTGATTAGATCCACCACAAATGCGTTCATTGTCTTACACCACAATCGAAACACAATCTACTCCTGCTCCAACATGCCATACCTATCAACCCAGTCAGGAACCACAGTCTCCACTTTCATCTGGGGTGTATGGAACAACACCAACGATATGTCTCAAACACTGTGCAAATACAAAACAGAACAAATTCTGAAAAGGTTGACATGAGAGTAAATCCTGGCACATTTAGAAAAAAATTCATTATGCAATAATTTCCTTTGCCTACATACCCATCCTCGCACACCCTCAATACATATGGAGCAGAATGAGATCTAGGGAATCTGCTATACTACTTTAGTCAGGATTTCTTTCCAATTCACAAATACATTTCAAATTTTGTAAACTGACATCAATCACACAAGAACTATATTACTTCAGTTGGCCACAAAGCTTGTGCATCATTAAACAACAACATTGCACAATGAAAAATGCACTCTACATGCTGTGCAAAGACAGAAATTGCGAGTGGATTGACATCTTCAGATTTGTTGTTTCTTCCATGAATATTATTATGAACGGTGCTACTGATCCCTCACTTCACTAAATCATCATTGGTCAACAACCCAACATCAGTATGTCCAAATTATTCCATAACAAACTTGCAAACTGTCATATAGGAATAAAATGTCACTGCCGACACTTGGGTTTGAACATGGATCGCCAGAGAGCAAACACAGTCGACCTCATCTTGAAATAATTAGATCATGTAATGGGTAAAAATATGGGAATTAGTGGTGTCTGACAGTATTGTTTGAAGGTGTTACTATTATTGTATCTGTGATTTACAAAGTGTCTCCTACAAATGGGCATTAGAAAACAAACAACAGCCTTATGGCATGCAAATCAATATCTTATTAACACGAATCCATCAATGTGTCATTTTGGTTAAGAAATCCTAGCACCACTGGGTTTTAAATTAAGTCAACCCAATACAAGTTGACAACAAAATATTACTACACTGTCATCAGGCAGCCATTACACACTCATCTCACATGGCTTAGTTAGGTACCTTTGAGGTCACAAAAACTAATGACAGTTTATGTCAGAAATGAAAAAAGCAAAATAAGACCTGATCCATCACTCCTACATTCATCCCCTTATACTGTAACCAAAACACTTGTATCAACTTACCTCTTGCACCATGTCACATCCATCAAACAAGTCAGGAACCAGTGTCTCTACTTCCATCTGGTGTGTATGGAACAAGATATGATTCCAGATCTAATGATATATCTCAAACTCTACCCAAATACAAAACAAAACAAAATCAAAAAAGATCGACGTGGACAGATCCTAACACATTTCATGGAATTTCATTATGCAATAATCCATTTTGCCCTTCAAAATATAGGAATCAAATTTGAAAATACATTTCACTAGTATGATGTTGTAAACACCACACACTGCCAGTATTCCTGTGTTCATAACACAACTGCATGTTCTTTACATGACAACAAAAATATTTTCTTTTCCAAAAATGTATTGCTACTAATTGTTTTTTCTTCAAAAATGTATTACTGGTAATTTGTTTTTCCAAAAATCTATTGCTGGTAATAATTTTTTTCTTCAAATATTTACTGCTGGTGATAATCTTTTACAAAAATGTATTGCTGGTATTAAAACCTATTTTTACACTTTCATAGCATTTTGACCCCACTTTGGGGGTTAACTATTTGCCCATAGCTGGGACCCGAACAGATGCAACCACCCTAGGTCATGGATGTAGTTTATCGTCATACCCAGGATGGCACCACTTGGTTTTTCTCAAATGCCATTAGCTGGTGCTGGTTAAGTCTATAAAATGAAAACTATTTTCTTTCCTGTTCCTCTTTCTCCTCCTTGAACCAAAATGTAGCACCACTGGGGTAATTATGGTCCCGCTGGGATATGTAATTTCCCCAGTCCACTGAGAGAGCCCAACACTCTTCAGGCTGGTTTGAATTCAGAGTTTTCCTTCTTCTAGGCTAATATACTTTGGGGTAACATTCTTATCTATAACTAATATCTAATCAGATTTAACCAAATATATTTTAATCTAAGACAAATGTTGGCAAAGAGCTGAGAATTATGATTTTTTCTTATTGAATTGATAAAAAAAGGAAAAAGAAAAAAACTTAATTCAAACTCTATAAAAGTGGAACTGTTCATTTTGATTTTTTTTTTTTTTGGTTGCTGGTTAGTTCATCTTGGTGGATACTACAAGGAAAGACACTATTTGATACTCTCTTTGTTTTCTGCATTACTAAAATTTATTAGTTGTTGTCCTGTTTTGTTGTTGAATGAACAAATCAGAATGGTTTCTGAAACTGCTTTTTGAAGTCAGTGATTTTTCTACAATGGAGTCACTTTTTGATCACAATATTTTTTTCTGCTTCAAGTAGCCAGCCAAGAAGTTATATTTAAAACCTAACCTGGTGCTGGTCAAATCACAATGTTTCAGACTTCAAAATTTAAAAGCAACATAACTTATAAGAATATCATTTATAGTCTTGGGTATAAACTAAATCTAGCAAGAAGGCCTCTGATTGGGAGATTGGAGGTTTTGAAGAGTGTGGAACCACTTCTTAATTGCTGTTGTTCCCAGGTCCGTCCTGACCTGGGGTGGTAGCACCTGTTAGGGTCCCAGCTATGGGCAAATAGTGAACCCCAAACAAAAAGAAAACCTTATGAAAGTATAAAAATACATTTTTATAGTAAAAATACCAGCAATACAATCTTATATAAAAAAATTACCAATGATATCTATTTATAGTAAAATGACCAACAATACATCAACCAACATGAAAGAATTCTTTCATGGCTTTAATTGATATAATATCCTACATTTTCTTAAATAAATCAAACTGTATTCCAAAATATAATTTCAACTAAAATACAAACATCACTGCCTCAAGTAATCTATGTCAAAACAAACATGTATATACACAAAAGCTGAGTCTCATCTACCATGTATTCAATTGTGAAAGCAGAATAACATGTATGTTTATTACTTGAAAGCTCCGAAGAAAATTAAATTTCAGCATTAAATGATTGAAGTTGATTTGCACGTCAGTTTGGAATGACAATTTCTGATGGTTTCAGCATCTATGGTAGCACAGACTGACCCATTTTTTGACAGGACGCTAGCTTAGTACACTCATGTGGTGTCAGGCGTTGTGCCATTCTAGACTGCACTTGTCAATGTGAAATAAAAATAGAAATTAGCAATAAAATGCTATCACTTTAGGAATCACAATATATTTGGTTTCATGCATATGTGGTGACGTTAACAAAAGTTATAAGTAATTTTCAATAGAGTGTTTCTTTTTACCCACACTGTATATATAACTACCAATTAAAGAAGGCCATCTCTTTAACGTAGAATTGAATGGCAATTGGCCTGTAGATGACTTTGCAAACCAGCCTGACTCTTGGGTACCTTTTTACACCATCCTGGGTATGACGATAAACTACATCCGCGTCCTGGGTAAAACGATAAACTACGTCGAACAGCAAGGTGTTCCCAGGTCCACCCTGACCCAGGGTGGTAGCACCTGTTAGGGTCCCAGCTATGGGAAAATAGTTAACCCTGAAACTGAGGTAAAAAGCATTATAAAGGTGTAAAAATAGGTTTTAATACCAGAAATACTTTGTAAAAAATTTACCAGAAATAAATTTTTGAAAAAAAAAAAAAAATCTATTATTAGCAATATATTTTTGAAAAAAAAATATTACCAGGAAAAAATGTTGTTGGCATTAAGTAACCCATTGAGGTTGATATGCCATAAAACAAAACAAACCAAACCTTTTTACATATG